ACACCTGGTCCACACTGCACCCCCATACACCCATTCCACCCCTGCACCCCCATACACCTATTCCACCACTGCACCTCCACACTGCACCTCCACACTGCACACCTGGTCCACACTGCACCCCCATACACCTGGTCCACACTGCACCCCCATACCCCTATTCCACCACTGCACCCCCATACACCTATTCCACCACTGCACCTCCACACTGCACCTCCACACTGCACACCTGGTCCACACTGCACCCCCATACACCTATTCCACCACTGCACCTCCACACTGCACCTCCACACTGCACACCTGGTCCACACTGCACCCCCATACACCTATTCCACCACTGCACCTCCACACTGCACCTCCACACTGCACACCTGGTCCACACTGCACCCCCATACACCTATTCCACCACTGCACCTCCACACTGCACCTCCACACTGCACACCTGGTCCACACTGCACCCCCATACACCTATTCCACCACTGCACCTCCACACTGCACCTCCACACTGCACACCTGGTCCACACTGCACCCCCATACACCTATTCCACCACTGCACCTCCACACTGCACCTCCACACTGCACACCTGGTCCACACTGCACCCCCATACACCTATTCCACCACTGCACCTCCACACTGCACCTCCACACTGCACACCTGGTCCACACTGCACCCCCACACACCTATTCCACCACTATATCCCCGCACACCTGTTCCACACTGCAGCTCCGTACAGCTATTCCACCACTGACTTGCTTTCAGAAGGTGGGTCAGCGATGGGTGGGTCCCTCGATTGTCAGCGGGCCAGCGATGGGTGAGTGAGATCGCGCCGAGGAGAGCAGCGGCGTGCGCGGCTTCAGCGTGCGGTGGGCGTGGCTTACGCGGCCTGTGCCGTGGGCACGGCGGCCGCAACGGAGCAGCGTGTGACGTGTGGCTCAGGCTGCATGGGGAGCCCCGAACAGGCAAATCAATCGATAGCCGACGAATCGACGATCGAAAACGTTGCCAAGACAAAAGTCTTGCGATGGTTGTAAGGTGTGTGCCCAGCCTTAAGATCTACCAACAGCTATGTAGTACAAGGGCCTGCTTGAGGATGTAGATTGGATGGTTTGTTGTGGTGGGTCCTCATATTACTTATTACATAATGCTTAATTTTGGTAAAGATTGTACAATTGGGTTGAACAGTGATTGGCAAGTTTAAAGACAAGCATTGTATATATGGTTGGCTTTATTTACACAACGCATGCACTTTGTTATATTTCTCTGCATGCATTCAGCAAGCAGAGCACCTGAGTGTTTCGTTGAAATCTGGAGCATATCTCAGTCTTTGGCAGATGCTGAAGCATCTGTGTGCTAGTTACTACTGTAAAAGTCTGTTAAAGGCCTCCTCATGTGTATGGTGATGGGCACACCACACTTAATTTAAAGAAGAACTCTGGGGAAATACAATCTTAACCCTTGCAGTGGGGCTCCCTCCGCACTGCAAGGGTTAACTGCTCGTGTTGTCTAGGGAGCTAAAACAACAAAGATATACTCACCCAAACCGTGATCCCGGCTGGCTTCTACAGCGGTTCCTGGAGCCTCTCTCCACATCTACTCCAGCGGTCTAAGGCCCCATTCACACCTAGGCGTATTGTAATATGCGCGTCTGTCGTGCGGGTTTTTTTTACCGCGATTCGTGGTAAAAGTCGCGCGACCCCAAAGGCTACTTGGCTGTATCCCAATAGAAAACGCCCTACAAAACGGCCCAAAGTAATCCCGGGACCTTTTCAGGCGTGGGCCGTTTTGTAGGGCGTTAGGGACGGGCGGAAATACGGCAAGGTGGGAACGAGGGCATTGACTACAATGCAATTTATATTTTTGACCGTTTTGTAGAGCGTTTGTCGAACGTAGAACGCCCTACAAAACGGTCAGGTGTGAACGAGGCCTAAGGTCCTGTGAGTAATCGCGTCCTATTCAGTGTATAGCATGTGAGGACCCCGAGGAATGGAGTGGAGGAGGAGAGGATAGAATGAAGGGACCGGTCTAGCAACCAGCCGCAGTTGCGTTTCAGGCGAGTATATCTTCTTTTTTTTTCCCCTAGGCAAAGCGAGCACTTAACCCTTGCCATGCGGGGGTATCACCACTGCAAGGGTTACAATTTTCTTTGCCGGAATTCTTCTTTAATACATACATTGCTGAACACAATACAACACAGTGAGAGACATTTATCAATTCTATTGCAAAGCAATGCTAAACTGGCGCAGTGAGACATTTTTACTACCAGCTTACAGCTTGAGTCATACACTTTTCTCTTTGCTTCTCTAAAGTCACACTGTGGCAGAATAAAATCTGACCCCGACCACTTCTTGATTACCGTATGCGTCTGTTTTAAAGTGAAAATCAGTTGCATTTTCAGTAATAAATCTGACTCATTGTGCCCATATACATGTAGCCAAAAGCAATTAAGGCTCCATTTACACATTGCATTTTGAATTCAGCACATGATCTTGCGTGAAAAAAACGCACGCACACAAAAATGCGCAATTTTAATAGATGCACGTTTGCGGCTACAACCACAGTCTTAGGGACAGAACATGCTAAAATTGCACATGTACTTTTTGCCACATTCCATGTTTTTATGCGCACGGATGAAAGCTCAGTTGTGAACGAGCCTAATTTTAGATCTCCAGTCACAGAATGGGGAGGTGACCTGTAAGTTTTACTGACCTGCAGGCGAGAAAGTGTGGCAGAGCTATATACAACGTAGGACTAGATGGGCAGTGATATAATTACTTTGGTAAGTAAAATGGCACCTGTATACTGTATGTATAGGGCATTTTATATAAAAATAATGTAAAAGTTTTATTTGATGGGGAAAGGAGGACAAGGCACAAAAGTGTCAGGGATCTTGTAGTTCAGCTTTAATACAACACACATTAACAGCCGGTACAGATTGCGGTACAGAAGTGTGAATCAACCCTTAGTTTATTGATTGTTCAATGCCATTATATATCTTATACTGTAAATGAGAATAACACCATTTATATACACGTCTATCATTTGCTCTGAGATTAGCATTAAGGGCCCATTCAAACTGGTGCAATAGGTTAATCACACAGTTCCTTATGATTAACAACGCACCTACCGTGCATCAACAGTGTGGGGGGGAGCGTTGTGTTACCATTCATTTGAATGGCACCCCAAATGCACTTTGCGGCCACAATGCGATCGATTGCGCTGACACACACGGTACTGCAATCTCATGTGTTGTGCAGTGCAATTTTAAAAAGTGCATGAACCACTTTTTTATCGCAACGCACAGTAGTGCGGTACTGCGTGTTGCAGCGCGATTGATCGCATCGTGGGTGGGAGGTGCATTTGGGGTGCCATTTAAATTAATTTCAACACAACACACCTCCAGCACTCTTAACGCATGGTAGGTGTGTTTCACAGAATGGTGCGTTATTCACATGGAACTGTGCAATTAACACCTCACCAGTGTGACTGGGCCCTAAGCCATCGATACCATGTAAAACATTCCAGTTATAGTGACAGTGTTATAATTAGGAAAAGCGATATGCTGAAGGAGATGACACTGATATTCAGACTCCAATATAGTTCAGTGCCACTAACATACTCTATTGTCTTGTCCCTCAGGGATATTTGTTGTTAAAGTAGCAGAAACGTAGTAAATTGAAGGCACGTGGCTGTGACAATGGCAGCTGTCCAATTAATTTCATTTGCACCACTGATTTCTGCAGCCGGGACTGGGACTGGGGCTGGTGCATCTGTAATGACAAGATGAAATGACAAATGAAATGAGTTAAAACTTACATTAAGTGATGGATGAAAGTGAACCTGTTGCCAGTCAACTATTTACATATTGCTGGGCCCTGTCCCCTAGTACTTCCACCGACCCCCCAGATACATCCCCTGGCAATTATTATTATATTTTTTTTGATACAGGGTTATTCACAAAAAGGGTGAAGAGTTTGGAGAAGGCCGGAGAAGTGAACAATCTAGGCCAAAATAGCAGATTTGGAACATGAGCTGAATTGGAGAATTTTTCCAAATCGGCTATTTTGTCCTAGATTGTTCACTTCTCCGGCCTTCTCCAAACTCTTCACCCTTTTTGTGAATAACCCTGTTACCCTTTTTTTCAGACGTCTTCAGGTTGGATAAAGGACAGACAGGGTCCAGTTCCTCTTTGGATCTTCTCCAGCAGTGGGCCATCCTCAATGATGCAGAGAACAGCGCTGATGTGATGACGTCAGTGACATTATGTGCAATACTACACTGTGAGTGGAGGGCGAATACAGTCTTCCAGGTTGAAGGATGCTGGGCTTCATTCAACAGGGAAGACCTCTTGTGGGAAAAAGGAACTACTGCAGGGTATATTGTAGGTGAGTACATTGCATAGTGGGATACGATGGGGAGTCAAGGAGGCAGGTCTTGCTTGTTGCCATGTAAACTTATCCTCCCCACCCATGGAACCACCACTGATCGGCATGCCCTTTGCTTGCTGTTGTTTGCTTACTGTTTTGGCCACAGTGCAGCCATGTTTTCCCTCTAATAACCACCCTAATAACAGTCAACTTCTACAGCATGGCATGTTATGTGGACCATATATAACATACATGCCTTTGTCACTATTGGCCTAAGTGTTGGCCTTTGCTGCTTTCCATTGTTGCCACCATCACTGTATCTCTACTGACTATGCTCAATGTTCACTCCTGTCCTGTTATGGCTGTTACATGATATATGGTGGGCTGAACGAGAGAAATCTTCATGCATATGACCAGTTTAATTCTTCCTCACTCTATCCAAAACGAAGAAAATAGTTTTTGCTGCACATGCACTTTAACAGCACTGTATTTCCCAGCTGCAGTCGACAAATTGAGAATTATTGTCCTTATACAGGACATTTGGGTAATACAGATCTGTGTACATGAGTCTGCTAGAGGGACAGATCATAAACAAGCCTCACTGATTGAAGTGTCTTAGAGCAGTGGTTGCCAACCGGTGGTCCGCTAGAACATTTTGGTGGTCCGCACAGAGCCGGCACTACCACTAGGCAGCTGCACCTGCTACCCCACACTCCACCGCACCTGCATATACCCTCCGAACAGTGTGGACGTGGACCGCACTGATGTGTGTGCGCGATGCCCGCAGGAGACTGCAGGATGCCTTCAGACTCCGTTGGCATCGTCCGCCCGTACTATGCTATGTGAGGCGGGCGGCCGATTGGATGACGCTGCCCGCCCGCTGAAGATCTGCAACAAGAATAAGCAACTGGCCAGGCATGCACGGCTCTGAGCATGACACCCACTACCTCCAGGCTCCACCCCCTCCTGCAGATGAGACGGAGCTGTGAGGTAAGTGAGAAGCCATTTTCTGGAATAATTGCACACACACTGTTATTCAAATCTGTCCTTCAGTAAAAAGTATTTATTTACTGTAGTTAATTTGCTTAGCTAACAGACTGTTAGGTAAGTAAATTACCACGGTAAATACTTTTTGCTCAAGTATAGATTTTTAATAACAGTTAGTAACAGATTTTGATCATTTTTGCTGTGATGGTCCATGCTAAAAAACAGCAATTGGTATTGAGGCTGATTTACTAATACAGCGGTCACCAACCAGTGGTCCGGTCCACGAGAACGTTTTGGTGGTCCCCGGGCCCCTCTGATACGGTTCAGGCTGGGCCGTCATTGAAGCAGCACGGAGGCTCCAGGGCTGCCTGTATATATACAGTATATATACAGTATATATATATATATATATATATATATATATATATATATATTATATACATATACA